TTCTACAGACTGTACACGTTAAAGATCCCTTGACAGTTGGAAATAGAAAAAGCGTCTAGTTGTTCTGATGGGACAATAAACAGAGGACCTGTGTGCTACAGACTGTACACGTTAAAGATCCCTTGACAGTTGGAAGTAGAAAAAGCGTCTAGTTGTTCTGATGGGACAATAAACAGAGGACCTGTGTGCTACAGACTGTACACGTTTAAGATCCACATCTCTCTATGTTTGTAAATGCTGTAAAAACTAGATTTTTTGATAGAATCAAATGAAATTCGGTATGTGTATACATATTCATAAAACGAAGATCAAGTTCGAATTTGAGCTATTTTCGACCGTTAGAAGCAGAGTTATTGCCCTTGCCCCAAAATCTTGAATATTTACTATCCGCATGCCGTGGTGGGCGTATATGGCTGTGGTCCACTATTTATTTTTTTTACAGTGAAACACGAAGAAATAGAGTTTTTATTATAAATGCTTCATTTGATGTTTGTTTAATCAAATCACAAGCCAGTATTTCTCTGTGTAATTTGTTTTAAGTTGTTTGATATACACGGTACCTAAGATTAATGCCATCTCCTTTCTGTGATTGATTAGTTTCATGGTACCATAAATCAGGAACCTGTTTACTTCATGAAGAAGATTCTTCGACAATTGGAAAATTGAAGAGTAGGCTAATGCTGCTGTTCTGATAAAATTTCCCTCATCGCTCACTGCACTGCACAGTTGGGAATCAAAAAAAGGGCAGGCTAATGTCACTGTTGTTCAGATGGGACAATACACCGAGGCCCTGTGTACTACAGGCTGTACATGTTAAAGATCCCTCGACAGTTGGAAACAGAAAAAGAATAGGCTAATGCTGCTGTTTGTTTTGCACTGCACAGTTGGGAATCGAAAATAGGCTGTGCGCTATGAAGGGGTGGGTGGATGAAAGCAACAGCTAAATGTGGGTGGATGAAAGCAACAGCTAAATGTAGGTGAATGAAAGCAACAGCTAAATGTGGGTGGATGAAAATATAAAATTCAATTCCACCTCCTACTAGTTTGTAACAATTGTTCAATTGAGGCTATATTCAGATAGTATCTGTAGTTAACAGGTCATACAAATGAAAGGTCAAACTATTTAAATAATATTCAGTAGAATGTGACAATATTTATCATAATGTCATTTGACCGAATTACCCAGCCTAATTTTATAGTTTCTAAAACTAGCCATGATTATTCCAAGGTGTAATAACAACAGATATATTTTATTGTCTTCAGATAGTATTTTATTCAAAGTATTCTCATTTGACCGAATTACCCAGCCTAATTTTATAGTTTCTAAAACTAGCCATGATTATTCCAAGGTGTAATAACAACAGATATATTTTATTGTCTTCAGAAAGTATTTTATTCAAAGTATTCTCATCTGACAGAATTACCCAGCCTAATTTTATAGTTTCTAAAACTAGCCATGATTATTCCAAGGTGAAATAACAACAGATATATTTTATTGTCCTCAGAAAGTATTTTATTCAAAGTATTCTCATCTGACAGAATTACCCAGCCTAATTTTATAGTTTCTAAAACTAGCCATGATTATTCCAAGGTGTAATAACAACAGATATATTTTATTGTCCTCAGAAAGTATTTTATTCAAAGTATTCTCATCTGACAGAATTACCCAGCCTAATTTTATAGTTACTAAAACTAGCCATGATTATTCCAAGGTGAAATAACAACAGATATATTTTATTGTCCTCAGAAAGTATTTTATTCAAAGTATTCTCATCTGACAGAATTACCCAGCCTAATTTTATAGTTACTGAAACTAGCCACGATTATTCCAAGGTGAAATAACAACAGATATATTTTATTGCTCTCAGAAAGTATTTTATTCAAAGTATTCTCATCTGACCGAATTATTTCTGAACCTAGTTTATTTGTGAGGTCCTATAGCGTTGGTTCTTTACATGACGTCACTTGGTTACGTTGAACAAATGGTGGCTGTGGGTTCCAATCTCGATCGGCATGTTCCATTCTAGGCCTGTACATTTGGGAGAATCAAACCTTCCCTATCCTGAAAACAATATTTGATTTTCCGACATTTTTTAAAGGAAAAAAAAAGATGTTTTTCACACACTGAAACAACCTGAATCCATTTATCTAATATTAAAAAGTGACACAGGTGGTTTTGATTGATTATTTAGAATTTAAATAACATTTGATTTTCAGACATTTTTTGATGAAATAAAAAAAGAAGGTTTTTCACAAACTCAAATGTTAAATACTTAACAATACCAACGACCTGAATCCACTTATCTAATATTAAAAAGTGACACTGGTGGTTGTGATTGATTATTTAGAATTTAATAACATTGGATTTTCAGACATTTTTTGAGGAAATTAAAAAGAGAAGGTTTTTCACAAACTCAAGTGTTTAATACATAACAATGCCAACGACCTGAATCCATTTATCTAATATTAAAAAGTGACACAGGTGGTTGTGACTGATTATTTAGAATTGATGGTTTCCTGTGAAAGTCAATTTAAGGAAACATTGATGGAAACTTGACGAATTGTTAATTGTGAAGA